ATCCATTATTAAAATAATATTTCATTTGATTCTGATGATTCCTTCATGGTGTTGCATTTTCTACAAACAGCAGTTTATGATCAACTAAATCATAAGATAGTTCGTAACTTTTATTTATTTTCTTTTATTATTATAAATTATCTCAACAATTTTTAAAGAAATTATATTGCTATTGTGAGGGGAGGAGTTATCGACAATGCCAGCCTTCATTTTCCAAAAGGTACCTCGTGAATGAATACAGTTAGCATACTAGTGAATTGATGCTTAATTTTCGTAGTGGTAGTTACACCACAATACTCCCCCACCAGAATTTTATCAGGGATAGAATTCGATGAACGAATACCACTAGTTGATGTACTTGTGAAAGACCGGGAGAGCTGGATTAAGGTCACCGTGTTTCTGAGTGCTGAATGTGAGAGGTGTATTAACTTCACGGTCGTAGTCGCGCCTGTGTTGCATTTAGCAGTCGAGTGTATGCAGGCTGACGTTGTGTATGATCGAGACGAAACTGAGCAGCAACAGCGTGAGGAGGAGGATAATGTCGCTGTCACAAATAGCAAGTCAACTGCTCAATGTGGACCATCCATTGAAGTAGGCGTTACCAGATCGAAGTGGGCGCTACTGTTAAGATAGGCGTGATCATATCACGTCCGGGTCACCAATGTGGGGAAAAGTTGTTATCGACAATGCCAACCTTCATGTACCAAAAGGTGCCTCAAGATTGATTCAAGTTAGAACGTCTTATATACTAGTGAATTGATGTTTATTATTCGTAGTGGTAGTTACGCCGCACTATATTGCAAAGGGTTCGTGATGCAGGAAGGTGTCCTGACCCCAGACGCAGATCCCAATACGAATGGGTCCCTTCAACCTTTGGAGAAAAATCCCGTTTAAAATTTAAGTGAATAAGATACTACAAAATGTTTTAATGGTTACTAAAAAAATACTAATAAAAACTATTGAGTTCTTGAATTTCACAGAAAGTAACAAGCATTGCACTAAAACATTTTTTTTTACAAAGCGTTTATTATGTTGAGACAAGTCCAACTATTAATTCATGTATATTGAAATTGCAAATAAATAATTCACAATCAGCTCTTAAATTTTAATGAAAGTAACGAGCATTGCGCTCAATTAATTATTTTTTACGAAACGTTTGTCATGTTGTGACAAATCATATAAATCATGTTATGAATTTAATTTTCAGAGCAGTAAAAATATGTGTTAACAATATTTCGTTATATTGAATCTCATATACATTAATAAAACTGTGTTTGATACTTCAGAAGTCGGCCTTCAATCTTTAAATATAAATTAACTTCTCTTCATACCACAAAAAATTATGCATAAATAATATACAAATCAAAGGAATGCAAAAACCATATGAAACAGCTGTTTCAAAAAAGATGGTTCCACTGAACTAATCATCAAATTAATGTTCAATTAATGCATTATTTTCCCACCTTATTACAGACTTAGATGAGTTCTATTTGGCAATGTTTGCTCAAGTTTTTGTAAACATTTTGTTTTGATCTTAGCAAATTTGTCGGAAATAGTTTTTGTCAATTGTGTAGAACAGTTGCACTGTGCCGGGATAGCCTGGTCTGTAGAGCGCTGGGCCCATGTCCGAGAGTTCGTGGGTTCAAACCCCGCCTGTTAAAGATTCCCTGTATAGTTGGTGACTGATGCAAGATAAAATTCTGTCGAGTCGCAAAGTCCTCCATGTTCCCATAACAAATCAAAACCTCTGGGGGTACTGAATTGAAGATCGATCGTTCTCTGATTCAGGTCAAAATGTGAATCAGGTCTGTGGATGAATGAATGGGTCCGCCTTATAAACAGGTGTGACGTATGGTGAGGCGAAGTCGAATTCTTGGCCATAGATGGCGCCACTGAAAAACAAGAATCGCACACTCTGCCTTAAATTTGCTCGGTTTCACCAAGCAGGCTTGCCCGTGTGGCAAGGGGCATTAGAACCAACAAACCATGTTCAATTAATGCCTTTTTTGCCTACCTTATTACAGACTTAGATGAGTTTTTGTAAACATTTTGTTTTGATATTAGCAAAAGTTTGTTGGAAATAGTTTTTGTCAATTGTGTAGAACAGTTGCACTGCTCTCCTCTAACATACACTGTTCACGCGAGCAAGCCACATATAATGTGGGTGGTATATGAAGAACGGAGCTATCACTATGCTCTGGTTGTGGAAATAAATAAAACAAATCCTATATCGGTTCTTCATGCACGTCTCATCAACTCCTCCTAGAAAAATGAAAGCCTCAGCATGGATCAATTTAGTAGTCGGACGTAATGAACATAAACTGCGCAGTGGATGAAAAATAAGAAAGATGTCACTATGTTCAGGCTACTAAGCTGCGCAGTGGTGGTAAATACGAATACGTTTGGACTACTTAGGGATCACATTTCTTGTTTATGGTAAACCGTGCTGAGGCCTTCTATTTTCTAGGAGGTATTGCTAGGGCGCGAAGTCGATCAAGAACAGATTAATGAGAACGAATACTAAGATACTAAAAAAGGAGTTAAATCGTGACTGCTCGGTGTGCATCAAAAAGAGCTTCTTAAGCTTAACAGGAACAGTTGGAGCAAGATCATTGGTCTTCTTACTAGTCACTGCACCCTCAGGAGAAACCTCTACATTATGGATATTGCATTCGATTTTCTTCGTCGTGGTCTTATGGAGGAGATTTTCACGACATATTCCTTGTGAGTGTGAAGTCTTTTCTGTTCAAAGATTTAAGCATCTGGGTAAGGTAAGTACTAGACGTCTTAGAATTTATTAAACTTTAGACTAGACTTGATTAACGTCGTACTGGAGCTACTCACACTGGGCAATTGGCTACGGTCTAGGAAACATTCCTGTGAATGATCGGAAATTCCATCACAATTTTGATAGTCTGCAGAGGGAGTAGCTTTCCCGCTGTGGTAGAGCAACGAGTAGAGTCAACACCTTCTAGAGGAAAGAAGGCCTCAGCATGAATCAATTTAGTAGTACGACGTAACGAACATAAACTGCGCAGTGGATGAAAAATAAGAAAGATGTCACTAAGTTCGGGCTACTAAGCTGCGCAGTGGTGGTATATACGAAAGATGTCATTACGTTTGGACTACTAAAGGATCAAATTTCTTGTTTATGGTAACCTGTACTGAGGCCTTCTCTTTTCTAGGAGGTATTGATCTGATTTCGTTCCATACCATTACAGCACCACTGACTTTGTCTTTTCAACAATGCCTCTCCATCATGCCAGTAAAATCATCAGCGATCTGGGTCATGAAGGATGATTTTTTGAATTTTAATTTTTTGATTTTCTGAATACCATACAACACCAGTCTTCTTCTCAAGATATCGCATCATGTGAGAATTTATATCACTTTTTTATTCAATTCAGGAGCCGTTCTCTTTTTCCAGTAAATTAAATGCCTAACTTTGTTACTACTCTATAGGATTTAGATTTTAAATTGTTGAGTTTTGTTGTTATTTGATAAGGTTGAGATTTTAAACTCCTTACGATACTTCTTCCCTTTAGGGATGCCCTGTCCATCCCGAAGCATTTACAAATGACAGCGAACAGCCAAGGGACCTCAATGAATTACTAGTTATTTAATGAGAAAAAAAAGTGATTTAGTTCAGCTGTAAAACATTAAGAACCAATTTTTAAAAAATACTCACTTATTATGCCACTTTAAACACTCATGCAACGAATATTTCAATCTTCAAAATGTTAATTAACGTGAAGTTAATTAAATACTGCGCCGCATAGCACATCCAATTTGTTGAAATATAATTCTTTCTCGTCTGCGTCTTTTACTTAACTTATATTTATTATTTGTTTATGCATTTATTGTAACCGTAATATATTTTTGCTTAGTGTACTTAACAACTTCGATGCACAGTTGGTTTATTTATGTTCCACATGGCTTTCGTGCCTGTCTTTGTGTTAAGTAAGAAATATATAGTAAAATAATTGAAATCTTTGAGAAAGAATAAAGAATGTGTCACTTAGAGAATTGATGCTTGACGAGCTTGTCTTGCTCGAAATAGAGTGAAAAGAACAGTTGCGAACTTAAACAAATGCCACGTTTCAACAACCAATCGGGATCGAGATATCCCTACTACGTCATTTGCAGGTATTCCATTGTATACCCGCAATCTACGTCACGCGTGTAAGTCGAATCTGATTGATTTCTGAATCAACAACAACTTACCTACAATGACGTCACTTACAAGTATTCGATTATAGTGAGCAAAATGTTTTTTGAATCCCTAAAATAGTTCCAGAGAGAAACGAAAATAAACTAAAAGTAAAATTAAATCTCGGATGTTCGATTTTCGATGCTCATTTAACTCAATTATTGGGACCCTTTTCCCTCATATTTTAGAGAAAAAGTTTAATAACAAAAACCTCAAAATGCAAATCATCAGTAGTTTTATGACACCTTTACAAACATCAAAATTATTAAATTCTTTAATTTGTAACCAATAGTAACAACAATCGATTAGAGTCCGATTTCTATATTTTTTTTAAACTTTTTTGTTTTAAACAAGTTTTTTTTTCTGTTTTTTTAATAGAAACTTAAAACAATATCTACTGGATACGTTTTAAATAGGAATGGCTCGTACACCAATTTTGCAGGAATGCCATATGTGAAATGAAATATACTTACGCAACATATTTTCTACTGTAAGTGGGTAACACGTTATTAATTTTTACATCTGATCCTGGCCAGTAGAATGAGGCAGTTTTCTTACCTTGCTTTAGAGCAGTTACCCATATCTGCAAGATAGAGAAATTTAAAAAATCTATGAATTTTCTGAAAATTGTAAGCATTAATTTTGATGCTAGCTACCTTTGGCAACCAGCCAACACACACTAGAAGGTAGTATCATGAGAGAAATATATACACCCAAGAGCCATTACATTATGACAGTCATGTCAAAGATACGGCCCGAGGGCCACATCCGGCCCCCGGTTCGTATCAATACGGCCCGTGATCGCGATGTGTCACAGAAAAAAGAATCGTGTTTTTTAGAGCTTTTAGACTTCACTCGATTCCTCTACGGAAGTTTTAAAATGTGCACACTACATTTATAAGTAATTTCAAGGGCAGCGCGTGCCTAGACAAGCGAGAGAGATAGACAGTAACGCCATTTCTTAGCAACAGGCGGAATCTTCGACTGGAATATACTTAGCAGCACAACTACGGATGGCGCTCCTGACATGGCTGGCAAACATTCGGGAGTAGTAACTAATTTAAAACAGAAAGCATCAGGGAATTTTGTGGGATTTCCCTGTATAATTCATCAGGAATCATTGGCATCCAAACATTTAAAAATGGACCATGTCATGCAACCTATAATTAAAATAGTAAATTCTATAAGGAGCAGAGGACTAAATCACCGACAGTTCAGGCAGTTTTTACAAGATTTGGACGAAAATTTTTTTGATGTCCCT